GTGTGCCTATGGCTCTTCAGGAGCAGAGCTGGGAATGCAACACAGCCACAGCTCAGCCTSAGCTGTTACTGCAAATACTGACAGGTTAATGCACTGCTCATTAAATGAGAGAAACCAAGCCTCAGCAAGCAAGTGGGCTGCTCATTTCCCTCATCACCTGCATTTCCATGGGCCATTAAGTAATGGGAAGCACGTGAAACTTACACCAACACAATGAAATTCAATCTCATCCCTGCCTCGTAACCAACCTTGCCCAAAATCCCAACACAGAATGGAAAGCTCTTGTCCCCAAAACCATGCTTTCTAACCATGCTTTCTAAGAGAGGGAAACTGAGTTGATATGATCAGCCAAGCCTAGCTCTTGCAACAGAAAGTCAGATATTTTATAGGACCGAGGCTTCTCAATTTACCACTCTGAACAAGTTCAGGTATGTTCCTTCTTCTGAACCTCATGGTGCTGCCCTGAAGTAAAACATTTACATATGGAGGAAGGGGAACAACCAACCACAAGAATGAGATAGCCATAACATAAAGGAAAAGCCTGTGGCTGCAGGCATTTGGCCTTGCATGCAGCCTCCCCCAGCACCATTCCAAGTTCCTGCATATCTGCAGTAATGATAACCCATAAGACTAAGCTAATATGTCAGTGGAAAAAATGCTTACCACTATAACGGAAACAARATACCCTAAGTATCCCACTAAACAGCAAGAAAGTAGTTTACTATCATGAATAAAGCTATTCTTYCCTTTCCCAAGCTCTCTGGAGACTCGATGGCTTCCCAAAAACAAAACAAAAAGATGCTAAGAATGGTTTCCTTTAAAGCTTAAAGCATATTTTTCAGACCAAAAGGCCTGWCTGTTGACTTAAACTCAAGCTGCTGTCAGATAGATGAGCTGAGCTTCAACAAAGTCCTGAAGCCATTGACAAACTTCATTATCTACAAACACATTCAAAACATCGCTGTCATCTGACTATAATTTTCCATTAGTATTATTATTCACCATTAACCAAGGTCTTGAAAAGCTACACCAATGCCATATGTCTCACCTTACACAGATCTGGAGACTTTCAAAACRATTCAGAAGATCTAATGGATACCAGCAACCCAGTTCCTGCCTCTCCCATAGATATCAACCTTTTCATTTTATTCAGCTTTGCAACAGCCACTATCAGCCTCTTGACTTTTTGSTCCACAGGTTGCCTCAAAGTCTCCCTACCCAGAGATTTCCCTATGCAATGGTTTCCTGCCCTGCTGACCTCTCRGCCCAGCAAAGGAAAACTTTCAACAAGAGCACATTAAACACCTCCAAACAACCAACTCTTCAGCCACTGCAGAGAACAGGGGAAGTTCACATACACCACGTTCATTCTGCTCTCAATTTCAAGGAGCCACTTTCCCCACACAGCGCTTTCCAGAGGAGATTTTAGCATCTAGGCATACATACCGTGTATTTAGCAAATTTCTGTTCATTTGTAGTTCTGACTTGGTTGCTGTTTCATTCAATCCATAAATACAGGTAGTGTATACAACTTTGCTTGGTTGCTGTTTCATTCAATCCATAAATACAGGTAGTGYATACAACTTGGAAACTAAAGGAGCTAGCTAAGCACTACTAAGAAAACATATTTTCCACTTTCTATCCCTTATTCTGAGCACACAGCTGTTTATGTAGTAAATATTTACTATTCAAGGCAAAATCTAATTTAGTTGGGTTTTTTCATACTTGTCACTGTTATGAATAAACAGAGTGACAGAGGGCAAAAAGAGCAGAGTAACAAGACAATTTACCCTGACACCGGGGTGATGTGACTAACACACCTATTTATTTGTAAAGCAGCAAGAGAGGAAGGGAGGAGAGTGYGAGAAAAATCAGAAAGTGTCATTGATCACACTCATTAACAGCCGGATCCCAATTAGAAATATATCACACAGAGATAATAAGAGGTGTTCTGGAAGGAAGCTTGGCTGTAAGATGAAGGAGGGTCTGAAACACAGCAAGCAGCATTTTACGGTACATACAAAGGGGTGGCAGAATCCAAATTCTGCAAGTCCCAAATGAATCACACCGAACAAAGAAACCCTACTTGAGGCAAGCACATGATCTCATCCCTCTGCCTGCAGACTTCAGATTACTCATTAAGYCACTTCACATTCTCAGCATCAATAAACAGGGAAGTTACTCCATGTCAATAGCTAATTCAATTTCCATACAGAAAACTAATGTTTAGCAAACAAAGTATGTCCATAGTGGATCTCAGCCTCCACAGCAGCAGTACCTAGCAGGCTTGATAAAAAAATATTTCTCCCTGAATGCATTTTTCAGGTGAGCTGTTAATGGAATCTTAYATGCTAAAGAAGAAAAAAGAAAATTATATGGAATGTTAAATAGTTAAGACTACACAGAATTAAGGACACACCTTAAAATAAGGATACTACCCTGCTTAAAATAGGCACACCAGCCTTTGTTCAGTGCCAGAGGGACAAGTTTTCCTCATGTGACTGCTAGTTTACAAAGGGCGCATTCATTCCGAATACATAAGGGTTTTGCAGCAGTTTTCCTTCAAGAATATTGAATAGTATTACAACATACCCTGGGTTCAATCCTAATCTAAGTGATGCAGTATGAAAGGGCTGCTTGCTGGAAAAAGACACAAGATGCTAAGCAAGAACTTGGAAATCACTACAGCAACTCTGCAGGTTCCTTTCCACTCACCTTGGAGGCCAATACTCCAAAGGAGGTAAGAAAATCCYTTTCCATGCATTATGGCCAAAACCAGAAAAGGTTTGAGCCTTTCTGCTCAATTAGAAACCAGAGCTTGCTCAAAGAAACACAGTGCTAAAATGGGAAAAGAAAAAAATCGTAACTGCTGAGGAGCACTTGTGAGGCGTCACACACTCGAGTAAATCTCACTTGAAAGGTCGGCTGGTTTGGTAGCTGTCAAAGGCCCAAGCCATGGCAAGCAAAAAAAAGCCTAACCAAGTGTGCCTAATTTGTGAACAAAGTCAGAATTAACCTTTAGGGTTTCACTTTTGTCAGTACAAAACATTGTTTTCAGTGCTTTCTTTCATCCTGTTCATCACAATTAATTTATCCTGGTGATAATAAATCCTCTTTTCTTACATGGACCCACTACAATTCTACCAACAGCAGCTTAGGCCTAAAGTTTTGACTTCACTTTACTGAAGAGAACAAAGGATGATTTATCTATATTTAAAGAGGGAGGAAGCCAGTGGCAATACAATACTTGCCTCTGCCTGCTTTTTCGTGCTGCCGCACTATAATCACCAGTGTCCTGTATGAGAACATACCACTGTCAGTATCTCAAAGAGAGCTATACAGAAAATTGATAACTCTGGTAGTATAAAGCACTGGGAAGAAAAAAAAAGACATAGTTGGATACAGTCCTAATCTCAAGTGTACAAAACATTGTGCATAAGCATTTGGTGGTTCTTGTACATTCCCTCAACTTGCTGGGATCCCAATATTTTAAGTAACCACAAATCTCTAAACTCAGGCCTTTTTTTTCTTTTAAATCGAATATTTATTTTAAACACCCCTACTTTCCAGTTTCATAAGGGTATAAAAGCCTTATGAATAGTAAAAAATGTAAAACAATTTTAACTTCAGCAGTGAGATGGGGGAATACCCATATGACATCATTAAAGGGCCTTTTGTATTTGAACACCAAGAAAAGTTTGATAAAGTAGAACTCACATTTTCAGGAGTTACTGTAAGGCCAATAGCAAATTAGAAAGTAAATGAGCCCAGACGAAAGGACAGAACCAGAGACAATGCATCCCAGTGGMCTTCACTCACTTCTTTGAAAGCTGTAATTACTTTTAATTAGCAGCAGCACTTGCTGGTATACCTTCTGCATGAAGGTATTTTGTGAAAGATTTTATTATAAAAGCACTCCACTGCAGAACTCTTRAATTACTATTCAAAAGCATAGAAAGAAGTTAGTTGAGCACTTGTACACAAAGATTAGTGTGGATTACTAAAACAGGAATGAGCTGTTTTCTATGAAACTGTTGGCAAGGATGAGTGAAGTGTTTGCAGAAAATCTTGGTAGACTCATGCAGCTGCGAGAACTACGTATCCCAAACAATTCAAAGGACAGCAAACATACCAGTGAGAAATCCACCTTTCTTTCCCAGATGTCCTGGGAAAAGTGTTTTTATCCAGAATTTCCCCGTGGCCCCAGCCTTTTGCCAGCACCAGTGTTGGTAAGGAAGGCAGCCCTAGCTAGGACCAGCAGATTGCTGCTGCTCCGAGCTAAGAGGAGAACAGTTCATCCACATTAGAGGTCACAATCTTACAAAACTCAATTATTTATAAAAGCATACACACAGAGTGTCCGCTGAGAAGGCAGTTTMCTTTTGCTCGCTTAAGCCAGGACTGGACACATAATGTGGGTGACTTTTCTAAGAGCACCATTACTTCCCTCTTTGCAGCTGGTTAATAAACAAGTAAATAAATTATACATCTTTGCATCAACATAACTGTGTCCACACTGGCTGAAGTGAAATCAAATCATTATTATTTATTTTTTGAGTTAAAAAACGACAGCTACGTTATTAACAGTTGCAAGACCGTTTCTTAGACTGCATTAACTGCGAAATAAATGTCAATTTCACTGGAGGCTTTAA